ATGACGGAGCAGACAAGAGAAAGGAAGCAGCTTTGTCTCTAGACTTCAAATCTGATCTATCCGGGAACTCACTAAACGAAGAGACCTGAGAAAAAAAGCTTAACTCCTTGAAAAGATAAGAAGAAGGATAAAAGTCCCCGAAACCTGAATTTTGGGCCTCATCCTTTAAATGACACTCCATGTCACGGGCTACAGACATCATTATATTTAAACATTGTATTTGTAACATACGCATAAAATCATCATTATCTGCTCTTTTAAAATAAGGCCAAAGCGTTTCTTAAGCATAGATCTATCGTTTCTTACGGGGACCGTAGCTAATAGTGCGTCAGCCAAGATTTCTAGTTCCTTAAAACGGAGCAAGAATTTAGAAGTACTTGCAAAATGATCGGAGTGACTTCTGATTTTTATGATGTATCCCACAGATTTTTACTGCCCTGCCCACATCTAATTTGGTGGCAGTGTTTTAGTTATTCAGTATGGCTGTCCTTCCCAAAGCATTCCGTTCTATTTTCATGCAATGGATCTCTCATTCCTGTTTATATAATATTTTTATCTAATATCCGATTAAGTTGAGCGAGTGCACTAAAAGATAAAATTGGCATGACTGGGTTCTGCACAAGCTCCGTGACTCCTGGTCAGCTAGGGGCTGCCGATGGCATAGAAGCTGTTGGCATTTCGAGAGCTTTGTACTGGATGGGGACCTTCAGCCGTGCTGTGGCTGCTCTGCTGATGAGACGGGCAGAGGCACTGGGAACAGTGGGCCCAGTGACAGGTAGTCCGGAGCTGGCTGGGTGGTCAGCCAGGAGTGTTTCTGCAGCGCTCCGGTGGGACAGGAGCTGGTCCAAAGGTGGGTGCAGGTTCCGATCAGGGCAGAGGAGGCAGATCTACATGGCGTAGGAGGATTCATGTGGGGCTTCACGGAGGTGGTGTCATGTCGGCAGGCCGGGTAGGAAGGCAGCCCAGGCACAGGTCCAGCATGATCAAAGGAATGCGTGGCTCGTCTGAGTAGCTGCAAAGCCCGAAAGGGATGAGCACAGGTCTTATTTCTGAGACTAACTACCCGATGTTCAGTCTCCACAGGTCCAAGTTTTGACTCTTGATCTCTGTCTTGCCGAGTCTTGATGTTAAACCACGCACAAGCCTGGCTTCTCCTTTCTCTTGACAGTTCTAGCAAGGTTCGCAGGACCTCATCTGCTCTGATAGAACAGCCATCCCTTTCACTGGGCTGCCCTCCACATTTCCAGTAAGGGCTTGCTCCTGACTTACTGTCCTATGCCTGTCGGGCTCCTGCCTGCCACCTTCACTGGACCTCTCTGATACCATGGCTGTCGTCTCTGATAGAGACAGAGCCCGGAAGCCTTCGTATCTGCCTTGTTTACTCCTATGTCCATATCATCTAGCATGCTTGTCCATAGACTCTCAGTAAAATCTGTTGAATGAATGAATGGACTGGCCACTTCTGCCATTCAGGTGCTAGCTCAAGTCACCTTGAGGAGTCCTTCATTGACTGTCCAGCTAATGCAGCCCCCAGGTCCCCTTAGTCCCCACCAGTCTATTTCTCACCTCTAGAACACCAGCTCTGCAGAGGCAAGACCGCGTCGGTGTCTGTTCCCCGCTGATTCTCCACGCCCAGCGCTGCACCTGTCACCCAGCACCCACCCCCTGCCATGGGACGTAAATAAATAAAACGGACGGATTATGATCCATGTTCCAGAGGAAAATGAACAGGGACTCGATTCTCCACCGCGCACTTACTAAGTGCATGACTTGGGCTGCTCTTTGAACCTCAGTACCCTCATGTGCAACATGGGCTGCAGACAGTCCCTTCCTCCCTCCTGTGAGAACCTGAGGTTTTGACGAGATCCTGGATGCAGAGCACGTGGTGTCTGCACAGTGGGTGGTCAATTAAAACCAGCCGTTGTCTGCAACCCTGGAATAAGTCCCTCACCCCTGCCTGGACGGTCAGGGCAGAGAGAGGTTCATGAGAGGCCTCTCAGTCTGCAAGAGCCTGGGAGTGGCCAGTTCTTCCTCACACCACTCAGAGGTCCTGCTGTGAATAAGCCCAGAGCAAGCCCAGAGGAGCTGCCTGCAGGGGGGCTGCCTGCTCCCTGTCTCTGCCCCATCGCAGTCATTTGCATAAAATAAAGATCCCGATTCTCTCAAAGCTTTCACCTTGGCTCCCCCAGGGTGTACTGTAGCCTGAGGCCATTCTGAGGACAGGAATAGAGCCATCCTGTGAGATGAGGTGTAAGTCCAGAGGGGAACCACTCTGCACTTTGAATCAACCCGGGTCCCTTTTCATGCAAATGGGTGGAAACCCAGGCAGGAAAAGATGTGCAGAATGGAGCTCAAAGGCCACGCGGGGCCCCAGTCTGGCTCCGGGAGAGATTGTGATACTTCTGATCTCCAAAGCTGGAAAACATCTATTGTGCCTCAGCAGGGGTGGGGAATTGTATGGAGGGGAACACTTTCCCACTTTCTTTAAATTGTGTTTTCAGGGCATTTAAATGACGTTTCTCAAGCAGTCAACAAATCTGAGGGAAACAAAAGTGTCGCCAATGGGCTTTTATGAGCAGACTCCAGGCAAACTCCCAATGCTTTGCAAACGGAGGAACTGGGGCAGTTGCCAGGTAGTAGCAGGACTGGCTGGAGGCTGGCAAGCCTGGAGCTGGCGAGTTTCGCTCTTCAAATTTTATTTAAAAAGCCTCCCGTAAAAGCATGCATGTCCTGCTGGAGGACTGAAGATGCATTGCCACTTAAAACTGTATTTAACCAAGCGTTACCCTGTCCCAGGACCCTGCTGGCGCCTGGAGGGATGCACCCCTAAGCTGGACACAGTCTGTGCCTTCCTCGTGTCCGCGGGTTTGTTTCGGAAATATTTAGTGAGCACCCGCTGTTTCCAGGCACCGAGTGCCCCTCGGAGCCGGAATGGTACCTGCAGGGACTGCGTGAACAGGGCCACAGGCCCCTGGCAAGGTGACTGACAGCGCTAATGACCAAAGGGTGTGGACAGGATGCCGAGGCATTTGCAAGCAGCCTCATCACAGGAAGCGCCGTGGGCTCTTCATTAAGAAAGCCCGTTCCTGCCCTGGCCAGTTTGGCTCAGCGGTTAGAGCGTCGGCCTGCGGTCCGGAGAGACCTGGGTTCGGTTCCCGCTAAGGGCATGTATCTCGGTTGCAGTTTGTCCCCGGCCCTGATTGGTCGTGCGGGTGGCAGCCACTCGATGTGTCCCTTCACGTCGATGTTTCTCTCTCTCTCTCCCTTCCTCTCTCTCCCTCCCACTCTATCTGTACAAAAAATGGAAAAATATCCTCGGGTGAGGATAAAAAAAAAAAAAAGAAAGCCCGTTCCTGGAGGGGAGGGAATTGGGCAGCACCAGTAGGTTTTCAGGGGTGAGTAAGCGAAACAGGGTTTATTCTGGAGTGATTATTTATGAAGTACTGTGCTATTTCGTTGTATTGCAACTGGACACCTGCTGGTGCCCACCCCTGTGTTGTATGCCACTGAATTCTCACAGCAGCCCTGTGAAGTGGCTGAGACCATGGTCCTTTGCCAAACTAGGGACCTAAGACACAGAGATGACACGGCTCCCCTGCCGCCACGTTGCCGGTAAGTGCTGAGGCAGAATCCCAACTTCCATCAGACTTAAAGCCCAGGCTTCTCCCCTCCCACCACGAATCCCATCCCGGAGGAGGAGGTAAAGAAAGACATCCTGGCACTGCCCCCTGGTAACTGTTCAGCTCCTGCTGAACCTCCCCCGGACTCAGTCTGTCCGTCACATGAAGATGACTTGTGCCTGCATATTTTCAGGGCTTTGTGAGGACGGAGGAAGGAATGGATGCTGAAAATGCTTCAAATCCCTACAGAACTACGAAGGCGGGACCAACTATGATGACTAGAATGCACCTGTCTTAAACTCAGTTCCACCCTAGAGCAAAGGATACAGCAAATAAGGCAGATTCTTGCCTGGTTTCCACAACACCAAGTCTTTCTAGGATGTGGTCCGTGTTGGGGGTTAGGCAGTCGTTTTTCTCTGCAGTGTCGGTCACAGTGAAGAGCGCTGTCCTGTCGGGCTGTGTGCGTCTCAGTTCCTCTCCTCCTGAGGATGAGCTGGTGCCTCCAAGCCTGGTTTCTCTCATAGATAGGTTCCCCGTTTCAATAAATGTGGCACGCTCTCCCCATCAGCCGAGCTCCTGATCCAGCCGTCACCACGGTCCTGCCTTTTCTCTCCTGCCATCTCCGGGGGTACCAACGCCTTAGACATGATCCCACATCAGCCTGTCACCTGGCCACTGCAGGCGTGTACCCAAAGGGCCTCTCTGCCTCTGCCCTTGGCTTCCTCCCCACAATTCATTCTCCAAACCACAGCCAGAATGGTCTTTTCAAATGTACATATGTTTGTCCCCCCTCTGCTTCGTGTCATTTAGTGGCTTCCAGTTGTGGATGGAATTACATGCTATAGACCTTACCTAGGCCTGCGAGGTCTCTCCACCTCCTTCCACCCCGCTTGGCACCACACCCTCTTTCCACCCTCCAGCCACACCATTGCTCTTTGTTTGCCGCAGGACATTTGCACTTGCTGTTTCCTTCTCCTGGAGCTCTCTTCTCCTTGCGCCGCACCTGGCTGGCTCATCCAAACTTGTAGGTGTCAGTTGTCATCAACCACCATCCTCTGTGATCACGACCTGTTCTGGCATGGCACCTGTCACATGTTGTAAATGTGTAATATTTAACGTCTGTGTCCCCTATTAAAATGCAAGCTTTGCAATGGTAGGACGTCTGCCCATTTGGTCCACCACCGGACACTCAACACCCAGCATGGTGCCTGCAAAATAATGAGCAGTCTAGATATTTGTCATGTGCATAGAATGGGATGAAATGAACACTGCCTCAGGAAATTCAGCCAAGAGCCCGATGGCTTCTACAGTGTCCACCCACCCCTCTGGGACCCAGTGGTGAGCCTAACAAGACTGTCCCTCTTCACTGCTTCATTGCAGGAGCGGCTCGTGCTGTCTGTGCTCCCCCGATTTGTCGTCCTGGAAATGATTAATGACATGACCAACGTGGAGGATGAGCACCTGCAGCACCAGTTCCATCGGATCTACATCCATCGCTATGAGAATGTCAGGTGAGAGACGCAGCACCCACCCCTCCTCCGCGTGGTCCGTGTGGTCCGTGTGCTCCTGGCGGCTCCCATCTCGCTGCGTGACTTCTGCCTGCCTGAATGACAGAGCCGCTTTTCGTTAGTGATTAATTCATTAATTAATTCATCAGAGTTCTGCATTTCCGGATTGAGGCTCAAGAGAGTGTCAGAGGAATGCAATCATATTTGCATGTCGCCTTACTGCTTGGCTCCCTGCAGTCGGCTTACCTGCCTTTGCATTTTGAGTGGGAAAGCCAGACCCCTTTTCACTGTGATTGGAAAACTAATCCCAGAATGCAATCTGGAAACCTCAGGGGTGATCACATAGGTCTCCTCCTATATTCCTCCTAAGTGTCTAAAACAACACAAAAAAGGACTACAGTTTTTTTTTTTTTCTTTATGAAAACATATTTTTGGCCAACTACCCATTCATTCATCCATCCACTCACCCACCAACCCACCCATCCACCCATCTATCTATCTATCCATCCATATATCCAACCATTCATCCATCCAATCACCCGTCCACCCACTCATCAATCTATCCATCCATCCTTTATCCATCCGTCCATCATCTATCCATCTATTCATCCAATCACTCATCCGTGCAGCCATCCATCCATCCATTCACCCACCAGCACCCTCTCTGTGCCCAGTACTACACTGGACAACATGATGTGTACTGAAATTCAGAGGGTGGGCTCCTTAGTGAGGCAGAGTTTTGAATCCCAATTCTACCTCTCCCTTAGGTGTGACCTTGGGAAATGTCCAGACCTGAATCTCAGGATCTTTTTCCATAAAATGGGCATTTTTATAGCCATCTTGCTGTGAGTACAGATCTATAGAAAGCACAGGACAGGGGTAAGCATATAGGAGCGCATTAGACATATTGAACATTGTTTCAGGCAAGGTTTCTAGTGGCCACCAAAAAAGAACCCAACCCTGGCTGATTTAAAAGAAATGCCCTGAATGGCTACACAGCGGCTCCAGAATAATTGGGGAGGGACAGAGAGGCAGTCTCAGGAATAAGCTGGAATAAAGCCAGAAGCACAGCCAAGATCATAGCAGAGCAGTAGGCCAGTGAGGACCCGGCGTCCACGGTGTCTGAAGAAGGCGTTGCTTGTGCTGCCAACCCTGTCCCCACACAGCCGTCACATCTGCAGTCCCTCCAGCTGCCCAGGATCTGAACGCAGCTGAATTCAGAGAGGGAGTTCGCTCTCTGCTCCCTCTGCCTCTCTGCCTCTGCATCTCAAGTTAAAGCTTGGGACTGATGTGGCCAGTTGGCTGAGCCCAGTCACTGGCAAGAAGTGACTAGAAAGCAAATAGCTGACATTCTCAGCTTGCACAAGTAGCACTGTATCGCCCCCACCCCCCACCCCCACCAAATACCACAGGGCAGAAATTCCCCAGACACAGGGAGAACGTCCACACGATGAGTAGCTCTGAACAAGCCGACGCAGCCTCTTAGTTCCTGGCTTCCCAACTTTGCAGGAGAGAAGGGAAGAGCGACATGTCCTGCCTACCAGCACCCCTGGCTGGCCTACACCTGGTTTGGAAGCAGGCCCAGCAGAGAGCGTGATTCTAACAAAACCCCGTAGCAGGGGAATTGGGGCAGGGGGTTCTCTGGGTTTCATTCAAGAGCTGAGCTACGAGGCTTCCAATGCTTGAGGTTGCAGAGCCTCCTGTCAGATGGGGATTATGGTGAAAGATACACCCCGGATCATGGGAACTCATCAACACCAATTCTAGAACAACAGGTTCCGGGCAGTAGCTTTAATTATAACAGAGTGTGGGTTCTATTATAAAGTAAGCAAGGGGTCTGAGAGATCACAGAAAGAGGAAGCCCTGGGGCGGGGGTAGAGGGTGCGGGTGCGTAGAGAAACCTCCGAAAGAGATGCTTCTTATCTGCCTTAGTTAAAACTGAGTCAGCCAGGTGAAGGCAGAACAGTGGCCTCTACATCTAGAGCTAGATATAAAATATTTGTATTACATGTTAACATAAAAAGAGGAAAAGGTATCAATATATGACAAATCAGGAGAGTGCCTGTCACCGTGGAGAAAGGTGGGGAAAAAACTACCCTTAATTAAGAGAGAAATGGAGGAAATGCACAAGCCAGCTCCCACACCCACGTACCTGGGACCCTTACATTCAGGAACAACGTGCTCGGCTCCCTCTCTGCACTAACCCGTTTTCTGTGCTCCCTGCATTCCAGACGGTGGCTGCTTCCTCCCCCTCCACCCGCCCATTTATTTAAACCATGGAACTGAGGTCGGATACCCTGAGACCCTTTCTGGAAGTTTACAACACACTAAGTTAAAATGGAGTTTGCCGCCGTCCATCTCTCAGTGGCCTCGGCTGGCGGCCAAGGGGCCGGCTCTACGGGGACAGGAATCTGTGGAGACCCCACCCTGCACCGGGCCCTCCAGCGCTTCCTAGGATCAGCCCCCACTGGCACTGGGCAGATGAACTCACCCGGGCCTCCGCAGCCCACTGCAAGGCTGCTGGGTGCTAAAATAAGACCCGAGATGGAAAAAGCAGAGAGGAGGAGGGTCCTTGGCCTGTGTCTGAGAACAAAGTCAGACCGGCTGCTACGCCCCGTTCCCCAGCCCCCGGAGCACGCCCACTGTGGAGCAGGGAGCATTTCTGAAATCCTTTCCAGTCCTGCCACTCTCTTCATGGCACCCCACCCGGTTCATTCTTTCCCCCTGTTGCTTTTCAGTCGCTGTGTTGTTCTGTGACCTTCCCCCCAAAACAGTCCGCTGTGATGTCTGACTCTTAATGACACTTCATATCCTCATCGTCTCCTGTCAGTGCGGGATGTACAGGGGGCACCAGGCGGGGGACATCCGTGTGCCCGGTGGACAGGGACCCTGCGGACCAGGGTTCTCATTTGGAACGTCTTCTGTGAGCCAGAGCCCCTACAAGACGTTGGCGGGTGTTAGTTTCCCAGCCCCAAACCGAGCTGTCAGAACTGTCAAAGCATATGGACGCGAGTTGATTTCATTCTCCATGTTGATTTCATTCTGTCCGCGGCTGAGGTGTCTGTCTCTAGAACCCTGGCCCCTGGGCTTTTCACCGGAAGCCGTTCGGGCTTCCAGTCTCATCTGTCGAATTCTGTTTCCCTTTCCTATTTCCCCCATGTGTTCAGGACACTTGTATTAGATAGGGTCATGCTGTCTGCTCGAACAAAGAACCACCCAGGTTCAATCATTAGACTCAATAGACTCTAGTCACACAACAGTCCACTGTTAAATATCCCTGGTAGGTGGGTGATTCAGAAACAAAGCCCTCCAAATGGTATAGCTGTACCATCCCCGGGGCCTCAGAGTTCTTGGCATTCAGCTCCTGGAGGGGAGAGAGAAGAAATGGCCCAGCCCTTTCTTTACCACCTCGGCCCAGAAATGACAAGGATCCCCCTGCTCAGATGCCAGTGAGGAGACCTGATCATGTGACCCCACCTAGTTACGAGAAGGGCCCAGAGTCCCCGGCTCGGCGGTCTTGGCTAGTGCCAGGGAGGCATGGCCTTGGTGGACAGCCAGATTCTCCATCAGGCCTCTCTTCCCTCTCTCCTCCTGCCCCAACCCATCCACGCGAATTTGCACATTCCCAGCCCACCCACTTTCGACTGGCTGTATATTTCCAGCCCGGCCTGCCAGCATGTTCACGCACCACATTCACCCTGCAGACTCGCGTTTCATGTACAAGCAGAAGGAAACTGAATGAGCCCAGAACACTTGTCGCCTTCGGGGCCTGTGTGGCCATCTATGGAACTCTGATTCCCAGCACTTTCCACAGAGGCCGTGTGCCCTCTACTTGCCGAGGACCGTGGTGTGATGTATAAGTTGCCTTCTTACCGTAGCCCTGCAGAGTAGCTTTAATGATCTTTGCTTTATCATCGCGAAAATGGAAGCTCAGAGAGATTAAATAACTTTCCCGAGAACACACAGTTAGGAAGAAGAATCTACACAGGGCTCATGTTCCTAATGATTCTAGTGGATACTGCTAGAGCCTCCTTGAAGACTCTATTTACAGAGTGACTGTTAGGTAACATCACTTATTTTTAGCCAAATAAACAACTTATATAACCAAATTAGAGTTGGAAATTAATGTGGTCCCTTCAGTATACTCCAAGATGAATCTCTTGGAAGTTTACACGTTTATATTACACGTTTATACTTAGAATCAAAAGACCCAACCCTGAGCCCAGCACCTGGGGATAGCAGAATGGGCAATGCCATGAGAACCAGGGCCCTGGTTTCTGTGTCTTGTCTTTCATTCAGCAAACTCTTATTGCATGAGTGTGACTTAGACCAGTGCCCCTCTGACTTGAATCTGCACAAGGATCACCTGGGGCGCTTGTGAAGTCTGATGCTGAAGCAGCGGGTCCGGGGTGGGGCCTGGGATTCTGCATTTCTAGCAGCTTCTAGGAGATGCCATTGGTGGCCATGACCCCACTCCGAGGAAGCAGGTCTTGATTCCGGTCACTTCTGTTGATTCACCTCAGGAAACACGTCATGAGTCTTAACACATGATGGAATCTTGAAGGACAAGAGGATTTTATTTATTTATTTATTTATTTATTTATTTTTTAATCCTCACCCGAGGACATTTTTCCATTTTTTGTTCAGATAGAGTGGGAGGGAGAGAGAGAGAGAGAGAAACATCAACGTGAAAGGGACACATCGAGTGGCTGCCACCCGCACAACCAACCAGGGCCAGGGACAAACTGCAACTGAGGTACGTGCCCTTAGCGGGAACTGAACCTGGGTCTCTCCAGACCGCAGGCCATCGCTCTAACCGCTGAGCCAAACAAGAGGATTTTAATAGGTAGCAACAGGAGGGAAAGCTAAGCCAGGGAACTGGTCCATCGTGCAGTTGCAGGTGCGTAAGGTATTGGTGTCTTCAAAAGACCACAAGAAATTTGATGATATTGCAACACTGAGCACGTGCGAAACTTTTGTGACCTTTCTTCTCAGGGGATTCATTTCTCCTTCCCATAGGCTGCATGCCCCATAAGGGGATCCATTTCTCCTTCCCATAGGCTGCATGCCCCATAAGGGGATCCATTTCTCCTTCCCATAGGCTGCATGCCCCATAAGGGGATCCATTTCTCCTTCCCATAGGCTGCATGCCCCATAAGGGGATCCATTTCTCCTTCCCATAGGCTGCATGCCCCATAAGGGCTATGATGGTACTTCCTGCTCACTGCTGTATCTCCGGTGCCTGGCACATAGTAGTCGTTCAGTTAATTAGCTGTAGAATGAATGATGAGTGAATGAATGAACCATTTTTGCCATAGACAGATGGATGCTAATAGTTCTGGATGAATGGGTATACAAAGTGAGTGCGTTGGACTAGAAGGCCCTTGCATTTGCAGCTTCAAAGGTACTGTAGTGATAAAGAGGATAGACCCCAGAGCCAGGCTGCCTGGCTCACATCCTAGATTTCATGTCTGTGGGCAAGTACTCAGGCCTCAGTTTTTTTAACCTGTAAAATGGAGATGATCCTAATAGGCCCTCCCCCACAGACTGAGGAGTAAATGAGTTAATATAGCAGAACTCTTAGATCAAGTTCAAGTCCACAGTAATTGTTAGTATTGCTCCTACTACTGTTTCAGGCTTGTGTCCACAGTTAGGAACGATTTTAGCTGCAAATATCATAATCCAGGTAACGGTTATATTTTTTTCCATCTCTGTAACCTGTCTCCCCTCCTCCACTCCCCACCCCCATGCAACCATATCATTGCAGTGGACAGTCCCAACTCTGCCACATGCTACCAGTAGGATGTTGGGCAAGTCTCCTTGCCTCTCTGAGCCTCAGTTTGTTCATCTTCACAAAGGAGACAGTAATGCCTCCTCTCCTGGGTACCTGGACGGATTAACAAAGATGGTGCCCACGCAGCGCCTTGCTTTTAGAAGGGTTTCAAGGACTGCCCCTTCCCTTTCTTCCCTGCTCTCAAATCATACCCATAGCCTAAAACCTCACCTCACTGAAATGCTTAGTAAATTGGAAAGTTTTAAGTAATTAACTCTTCTGCCTGAAGTCTCCCAGGTTTACTTACTAGTTCCATAATTTTTGGAAAAAAAAAAAAAAAAGCCTCCCTCTATTTGTCTGCAGTTTGGGGTAGAGTACATGCCACTGGGCTGGAGATAATGAGGTTTTGTGTTCTTTTTTCCCCTGTGTTGATTTTGCCCTGTGTTCATGGCATCTGCGTTGCTGTTCATTGTGCAAATATAGAAATAATTCATAAAGCTCAGTTTGGCTTTTCCCAACACATCGATCTGTTCTTGGTGACAAATTTTCCTTTGGAATGTGTCTGCCTTGCCCACACTGCACGGCTTTGCACAGGGAGAAGGGCTTCCGTTGCCCCCTTGTCCTTCCTGAACTCCCGGGTGCACTGTCTCTGCTGGGATGTTTGTTAAACCCTGAGACGTCCCTCCTGACTCCCATGGCAGGAGGGCAAAAGTCTCCGACCACGGTCGATTTCTTTGGGTGGAGTTGGTGGGTGTCCCAGGAGGGCGTAAAATATTAATGCGCTTTCTCCCCACCCCATCCTTTCCCTGTCGTCTAGTATTCTTTTTGCAGATGTTAAAGGATTTACCAACCTCTCCACGACCTTGTCTGCTCAGGAGCTGGTCAGGATGCTCAACGAGCTTTTTGCCAGATTCGATCGACTGGCCCATGTGAGTTGAATTTAATTCCCTGCTCGTCTTCGGCGGGAGTGAGGGACTGCATTTGGAATTAGGGAAGAGGACTCAGCCTTCACCGCCAATGTCATTACCATTCTGCATCCTGTCCCCGGGCGTGGACCCCTGACCCTCACACATACTGGGGATCCGTGTTTGTTATTGACAGGTCTTGGATGGGAGGTTTGACAGATTCATCTTCCCAATTGAGAGACAGCTGGTTGAGTGACAATTAAACCAAAGTCCTTTTGATCTGCTTCCCCTCTCGCATCATTATGCCCCTGACGTGGCCAGGTGCCATCCAGCTGCAGCCTCCGAGTTCATGCGGCGAAGGCTGCCTGGCCAGCCCGGGCCATCTGGAATAATTGGTCTGTTCGTGAAAACCGTTCATCTACTGGGCCACCATTCTGTCTGACCTAACCTAAGAGCTCCGTCTCTTTCAGCCAACAAGACACGACCTTCATTTTCAGTTGGCTTGATCAGAGCTAAAATAGAAAACAGGTGAAAAGAGAGGACTGTCTGCTATTGAAACACAGATTCCAAGTCCCAAAGCCACCGGAGTCACGGAGGAATATCACTGTGACAGTGCATTTTCGAGCGGGTGCTGGGTTCAAACAGGCATGCCTCGATTTTCTTCTTTGTAAAGGGTGCACATCACTGCCAGCCCCGCGGGCTGTTGTGAGAGTTCCGTGAGGCCACGTCAAGTGGGAGCTCATTTTCAGACACGGAAATGTCCTCTTTGATGGCTGCGTCCCTCCAGCAGAGACCCACGCGTACGCAGAGCTGAGCACCTGCGGGGGTTGTGCGTGGGCTGTGTTTGGGCGCACGGGGCTGACTGGAGCACACACCCTCCCTTCCTAGAGTGAAGTCCAGTCAGGGCTCCATAAAAAGGTGAGCAACACACAATGTGATGAGTGCGTCTTGGTGACACGGGATGGCAAAGGCAACACAGAACCCTTGGATCAGAGGAGACTGCCAGGAGAATGTGACTCTTAGGCTGCGTCTTAAAAATGAGAAAACAGTCCAGCCGTTGTGGCTCAGTGGTTGAGCATTGACCCATGCACCAAGAGGTCGCCGGTTTGATTCCTGGTCAGGGCACATGCCCAGGTTGTGGGCCTGATCCCCAGTGGGGGTCGTGCAGGAGGCGGCCAATCGATGTTCTCTCATTGATGTTTCTATCTCTCGCCCCCTCTCCCTTCCTCCCTCTCTAAAATCAATAAAGGAAAAACAATTTTTAATGAGAAAACGAACATAAGGGAATACTACTGTTCAGCAATAAAAAGGAATAAGCCTCTGATACATGCAACAACACCACTGACTCTCAAATGCAAGATGCCAAGTGAAAGAAGCCAATACAATATCAGCGGATGTGGTATAGAATTATGCCCCTGGAACCTATATAATTTTATTAACAGTGCCACCCTAATCAATTTAATAAAAAATAAAATAAAATGAGAAAAGAAGCCAGACGCTAAAGGCTAGACAGAGTATGATTCCACACATGAGCCATTCTAGAAGAAACAAAATTACAGGGACAGAAGAGAGAAGTGGTTGCCAGGTGGAGGGAGTGGATTGGCCACACGGAAGCATGGGGTGCAGTGCTTGGGGGGTGGTGTGGATATTCTATATGTGAGCATAACGCTTCACATGTATCAAAGGGTAACTTTTATTGTATATAAGTTATATATCAATTAGCAAGGTGAAGAAGACAGAGAAGGTCAGATGGGAGAAGAAGAAGAATAAAGATGCTAACTACTCAGTATGTGTGGAGAAACCGGAAGAGATTTAGCATTGCTTGAAGGGGAAGTGATGATGTGCTAGACAGACAGGCAAGAACCTGCCTCTACTGGACAACTACTAAACACAGCACAAACCTGGGCAGATGAGGAGGGGGAGACTGAGGTCTTCTCCTAGTACAAGAGTTGGGTTTACCTAAAGGGCTGGGACATTGGGAAGAACGTATACCATTGCTTTTGATTGTTGCATCATTGGTGTCCGGTGCCAGTTACACACAGCTATTCTTCTTCGTATCACGGCTTTGAGTATTTCTGCTCAGATACGTGAAGATGAACAACAACGACCCTCCAGTGAGAACTGACAAATGTGACCAAGGTTAATTTTTAGCATCACAGTAAACTCCACGACTCAGGGGTACGGTTGCTAAGTATATTGATACAAGTTGTTCAACCAACATTTATTGACTGCCTACCACATGCCGGATAACGTGCAAGACTCCGGGAAGGCAAAACCAGCCCATGCCCTCAGGGAGCTCCAAGTCTGGAGGAGGAGAAAGACAAGCCCGCTGTCAACGTCTTTGCCCTCAGTCAGTCACTTCCCGGAGTCACGGCCTCTGCTTCTGTACACAAAGGGTTGGCCTCGTCCCTTGGAGCATCTTTCAGCACCCAAACTCTGTGCCTTTATAATGATCTCTCTCTCTCCTTGCCATGAACCTTTGCTTTCGATTTTCATTATGTTGCACGTCAGAGAGAACCCACCTCCCATGGACATGTCACACACTATGCCTGTTTATTCGCCGCAGGATTCAAATTCAGGGGAAACGTCTAAGTCCTCTGTTAAAGATCCTCTTAGTGTGACTGAGGTGCTCAGTGCCCTCGTGGTTAGATGCTCGGAAGAGAGCACTGTGACCTTCGACAGTACCTTTGACAAACCTCAGGGGCTCTTGGTCTTTGATCTTTTTGTTGTTGTTGTTGTTCAGGTAGAGTGGGAGGGAGAGAGAGGAACAGAGAGAGAGAGAGAAACATTGACGTGAAAGGGACACATCAAGTGGCTGCCACCTGCATAGCCAACCAGGGCCAGGGACAAACTGCAACCGAGGTAGGTGCCTTTAGCGGGAACCGAACCCGAGTCTCTCTGGACCGCAGGCCGACACTCTAACCGCAGAGCTAAACCAGCCAGGGCTTTGATCTTTTTTTAAAAGTAGTTCCTACTTGTCCCTCCCCATCAAAATTCAGAATGAAGACGGTGCGCATTGCTATGAAGGCTTTAAAACTGTAAAATGAAGAACATTTTTCTTGTTCTACAACTGACCTCATTGCAGCTGAGACCTTTTTAAAAATTACTGACAAAAACCAGAGGAACCGAAATTGTTGTAAAGAACAAATCCAACACAATGGAGAGCTAATCAACAGATGAAAAACAAGGAGAGAGCTATTTCTGCACTGACATCGAAAGAATTTCTCAATAGGTTGTTACATGAAAAAGAAGCATGTATCAGATCTATAGACATGGTATAATAAGTTTATGCCTAAAGAGCATGGAAACTGGTCATATATGTGATCATGTGAGTGTACATGTGGAAGCATGGTCTCTGAGGAGAGACAGACCAGTTCCCAGGTGCTGTGTGCCTGAGGGGGAGGGGCTGCCCAAGGGGACTTACCAGTTTCATCTTTGCTAGGACAATATATTCATGTGTTATTTCTGTAATCACCGTTACATAAAAGGCTATAAAATGGTCGTGTTTTCTAACAGAACTATTTTGAGTGCATTAATGGCACTAATGTTTTTGTTCTGAGAATCTTCCCTCTTTTTATTTTTTATTGATTTTTTTTTTCTGATTACGAAAGCCATGCTTGTTCACTTTGTAAAATTCAAACATCAAAGATATAGACAAGACAGGAAACGTACATCCGTGCCCAACGATATAACCATCTTTGATAATTTGGCACATATATCTCCTACGTTTTATCCACATAAATGGTTTTATAAATTCTCTGGCATTCCAAGATTTTTATTATGTTGAAGCCATCGAGATGGAAGGAAAAAGATTATATGAAGACTAACTCAAAATTTTCAAGGAGACCTTCACCCTACTTTATTTTTCTTCTTCACTATCTTTTTTCAAAGCAACCTGGCTTCCTTCATCTGAACTTTAGAAAGCAGTTTCTCATAAAAAAAGAAGTTGCTTGGCTATTACTGTCAAGTCACCTGACAGCTCCCAGGAACTGATGAGAAGATGAGCCCGGAAATGGACAGATAAGAAGACGGGCTTCCATACATTGTGCACATGAAAGAATGCGGATGAGCGAGCCTGAGGGGTTCAAAAGGGACTTGAGCATTCTGGTCTCTCGGGGGGATCTCGGAACCAACCACCTGCAGTTACCAAGGGAAGACTGCAGGTAGTTAAGTTCTGGAGGGGCAAAAGCTATACGTGGATTCTTGACTGTGGGGAGGTGGGCGGTGAGTGCCTCTAACCTCTGCTTTGGTCCAGGACTATACCCTATATATATGGGTGTTGTTGAGCTCGAGACTGCTTAAAACCACGAATCCAAAGGCACGGCCTGAGAAGAAAGACAGCGCCGGGGCGGGGTTCCTAGGGGAGCACAGGACGAGCAGGGGGATGCCTGCTCTTCGCCAGGCCCGTCCACCTGATGGGTGTTCAGATCAGGAAGCCACGCTCCTGTGTCTGAGCAGCTCAATGTCCAGTGTTGTTCCATACTCCACTCCGCCTCTGAGTCCTTCCACCCTTATTTAGGGAACCCCCAAATTCCTTAGGAAGATAACAGGAGTGTGCTGCAAAGGTAGGTGCTCCTGACCCCAAGGTGCAGACCACCTGACCTTGCTTTCCTCTTCCCCAAGCCTTTCTGAGGCACTGAGCCCTCTGCTGACTCAGTCCCTTCCTCTCCCATCCTGATCCTTCCAGGAGCATCACTGTCTCCGCATCAAAATCCTGGGGGACTGCTACTACTGCGTTTCCGGACTCCCCGAGCCCCGCCAGGACCACGCCCACTGCTGCGTTGAAATGGGTCTCAGCATGATCAAAACCATCAGGTAATTCGGGTTCTCCTTCACAGCGCCAGGCCTTCGATGCGCATGACGGGAACGACAAACACCCCAGCCGTTCTTTGTGGTAAATCGCGTGTGTGTTGAAAGGTGAAGCCCTCTGGCTTACTTCATGATCACTTCATACCCCTTCGTTCTCCCGGATGAACCAAGCAGCTTCATTATGTTCCAGTTATACCTCACTTTCAATTATTGGTGCAACACATTTGCATGACCCATGTCCTTGTAGAGATACAGCAAGGAACAAGATGAAGCGTAATGCTTGTCTTCAGGGGGTTATGGGGCAGCGAGGGAGATGAACACAAAGGCAATGTCAAGGTGGTACAATAGGTTCTGTGATGAATCAAATCCAGGATACTTGTGAAGAATAAAGAAGGACCAGCTAGTTCAATCCAGGGTGCTGGAGAATGCTTTCCAGAGCAGAGATGTCTGAGCTGTTTCCTGAAAAGTGAGTGGATAATAGGCAGATCCTGGAGGTGGATGAGAGCTTGGAAGACAAGACAGACATGGGCAGAAACTGGGACATGAAACCTGGGGAGGAAAGGGTGGTGACCGATGGCCTGCAGGCTCAGAGCAGCCAGGGACTACAAGACCTTCTCTGCCGTTAAGGGGTTGCACTTTATCCTAAGGCCAATAGGAAATCATTAAAGGACTACCCCCAGGGTCGGCTTCATGAATGTACAACAGGCTCTTTAGGCTTTGGTCAGTGTATTTGACAAACTGAGGCTTAATCAAGAGGGGAGGAGTTACTGAGGTCAAGGACTAGACTGCTGTGGCTTTGGGACAGAAGCTCAGTGTTGTCAGGGCTCCCCTCATGGTTCCAAAATTATTGTAGAGCCACCAAGCATCACATCATCCTCCCACAACCACAGCAAAGACACTAAAAAGAGGATACATGGTCAGAAACCTTCTCTGTGGCTCATGCTTGCATCTTATAGGGGAAGAAGATTCTTACCAGACACGGACAAGAAGGCTCTCCCCGTGAGAGAATCTAAGGAACTGGAACCTCCCTTTCAAGACCTTGGTAGAAGCCAAACCCTGTTCCTGATCCCTTCTTCTTGCTGACAGATCCTTGACTTTATTCAGGTTCCAAACAGAGGTCTGTAGACATCGGGAATGGTTGTATAGCCCCTAATGAAGAGGACATGGAGCCCTTTCCCTCCATATGCTCCTGCTCCATTGATGTTTCACTGGTCATTTCAAGACTGAGCCCGAAACCACCCTCCTGGAGGGCAGATCGACCACCCTAGCAGGCCCTCAGGGCCCCACCTTTGGAACCAACCCATGACCAGGGCCCGATCCAGGCAGTGTGGTGCTTTGCCATGAGAGGTATGATGAAAAGCCAACCTTTGTCTTACAATCAAGCAGGCAGGTGGAGAAAGAGAAAGAAATGCCCACTCTGCTGTGGCCCCTTCTGTGGAAATGTGGAAATTCCACCCTCCAGGGACCACGGGGAGAGGAGCCCATAATTTCCAACCAGAGTTCCCTTTGATCAGCCTTTGGTAGCTGGAAGAGGCTGCAGGTGTCTTTTTGCTATTAATTTGGACACTTGAGAGTTTTGCCCTGAAAACTTGGTTGAATTATGCTAACATCTTGACTGATTTCAAGGGAAACAGTGTTCCTGGTATCTTGTACCAGCTCTGAAACTAATTAGGTGCACGAACCTTATTCTGTCCATCCATCAGTAGACCAGCCAACAAATCTGTCCACCCATCAGTAGACCAGCCAACAAATCTGTCCACCCATCAGCAGACCAGCCAACAAATCTGTCCACCCATCAGTAGACCAGCCAACAAATCTGTCCATCCATCAGTAGACCAGCTTAAGCAAAAGGTAACTCTGTAGAGACGGCATCGTGAGAGAAATGAACACTGATTGTCAGAGTCCTTTAAGATAATTAGAGCATTGTCATTTGTCTTTCTGGGGAGGACCACATTCCTCCTGACCCTTTGATCCAATCTGTGGTCTTCTTTCTGAAGTCCTGAAGAGGGACAGTGAGGAGTGAGATTTGGAGAAGTTGAAATGACCCAGGGCTTTCTCTCGTTCGATTAAGTGTTGCTGCTACTCCTTTAGAATAAGACAATTCAGTAGGATATTTTTTAAGCCGCATGAGTCAGAGTCTATTAACACTGAGACATCACCTCGATTATACTGTGGGTGAGTTGAGGTGCAGCACTCCTCCTCCCCATTAACAGCACAGCACGGAGCAGAGGCATGAACAAGAGCTCTGTATTTCGGGGAGCCTTGGTCGCAGTTGGCTCTGACTTCTAGAGTGTCCACTCGTCCTGTCGAGCGGTGTGCCCTCAGGAATGCCTGGCAGACAGTATTCGCACCTGAATGTGTGTGGGAAAGAAGCCCAGTTACATCGCTCTACCAAACACTTAATAATCGTAACCAACTATCACTTGCATGGGACGCCAGTTTTCACTCAGCCCCAAAGGCACTTATTTCTGGCCGGAACACTCCACAGGAGCCGTCCAGTCTGGAACCACGTGCGGCCTGATATCGTCCATGTTGTGATGTAATGTCAGCGTCATACACTGTGTATTGACTGGTCTCCCCAGACTAGATGGCCACTTTGCACATTTGTCACAGAGATGGATCCCTGTGGGGGTACTGTCCCCTCCCCTTCAGGGGCTGTCCCTGCCCCTCTTCCTGGCATTTTTCAGGGTTAGAGACCCAGCAGCAGCTCCAGGATGCAGGACGGCTGAAGAGGATGGTGCTTTGACCGAGAGATGGCACCTCGTTGGCTCTCTCTGGATCTGGGCGGCTGCGGTCATTTCCTTGTTTGGGCGACGTTACAACTCTTGCACAAAAGGCAGATCAACTCAAAGTGACCTTGGCCCCTTAATCACATCTCAGTCCAAATACGTGACAGAGATTCCCTGTCAACCGCAGACAAGCGGGGACAGGGTCCCGGCACCAGGGAAGTGTCAGATGTGAGTGAGAGTCAAGACCAGCAGAGGCTCCAGCGGGAGGAAGACCGTGTCCCCGTCTCTGTCTTTCGCGTCCTTCGGATGGAGAGCCACTCATTGCGCTGATGCCTGAACTCGGACACTGGTACCCGAGGGATCAGTGTGTAGCTCCGGGGGTCTCACACACATCCCTCAGGAACTAGCAGAACCAATACCGAGAACAGAAAAATCAGCAAACGTCTGAGAATAACAAGCTAATGAGCCCGAGTCAAGCCTCAGATTAAATTTATTCCATTAAAAAAACACACACACACATTTGATTTTAGAAACATGATATTAGCTAGACAAATGACAAAAAAAGTAATTGCATGTAACTTTATTTCTCACAAAGCCTTGAATACTGGCTCACACATGCCTGTTCATAAAATTAAATTAATTAAAACAGGCTCTCGTAATAGTTCCGTTCGGTAGGGTGGAAGCGTCCCCTGGGTGTGGTTTGGGGAGGCTCGATGCCGGGGAGGACACTACATCCACGGTGGCAGTATCTGTGAGAGGCAGTGTCTTTATTAAAGATCTTCAAATCCATCCTCGATGGATCTGAATGAGAACCGCGGAGCCGCTCTGCTCAGCGCGGTTGCTGGAGTCATGGAATGGCACCAGGACACCAAGAGGGAGCTGGCCTGTCCCCACCTGCTTAGCTGGAGCAGAGGCCTTCATCCCCATGGCGGGACAGGGACCCGAACACCGGAGTTAGTTTGCTTCCCCCGCGGAGGCGGGAACTCCCAGACTCGCATCCGTCTTTCCTTCCTCTGCTCTGCTTCCTCTTGCTCTCCCTGCTGCCTGCCTCCCGCCCCTCCCTCACTTGCTGCTCTCTCTGCTCAAGCCTCTGTTCTCACCTTGTTCTGAAATGTCATCATCTACAGCGACCAGAAGACCACATTGCTCTTAAACGCTCAGCAAGCGCAGCAGTCTTCAGTCCATGGAGAACGATTCTCCACCCCACCCCCTCCAAATTATGTGTGATAGTGAAGATTGAATCTATCTGGTAATAATAACTTATAAAGCTTCTATTGACGGAATGTTCGCCTTGGACCAGGCAGACACTGTGCTAAGTGGTCTTCCTGACCCACCCCACCTGATTCTGACAACAACCCCGTGAGGACACCACTAGTGCTTCCCCCAGGGTTCAGAGCGGCAACCTGAGTTCTGATGAGATCAGCGACTTCTGCTGCCCAGCTTGTAAGTAGCAGAGGTCCAGAGGCAGGGAAATGGTTACATCAGTGTTGGCATACTACAAAACGGGCAAATGGTGACGATGGAGCATCATGCTTTACATTCATATTGAACAGCACAAGCAAATGTTTGTGAGTTTAAAGAAGTATCCACTGTGGAACACACACACACACACACGTCATTGAGGGCAACCTCTGCACAGTGGAACATACACACATACACACACACACACACACGTCATTGAGGGCAACCTCTGCACAGTGGAACACACACACACACACACACACACGTCATTGAGGGCAACCTCTGCACTGTGGAACACACACACACGTCATTGAGGGCAACCTTTGCACCGTGGAACACACACACACACACACGTCATCGAGGGCAACCTCTGCACTGTGGAACACACACACACACACGTCATTGAGGGCAACCTCTGCACTGTGGAACACACACACACACACACGTCGTTGAGGGCAACCTCTGCACTGTGGAACACACACACACACGTCATTGAGGGCAACCTCTGCACCGTGGAACACACACACACACACGTCGTTGAGGGCAACCTCTGCACTGTGGAACACACACACACACACGTCGTTGAGGGCAACCTCTGTTCTATAAAACATCTGGTTTCACAGGAAGCAGGAAGGTCCTAAAGCCTGTGGAGGGAAAGGGGTGGTGGCGGGCCTTTCACTTTCCCTCACTAGGTCACACGATGTTGAGCAGGAATCTACATTAGTCCCCTGTGTGTCCACCCCCAAAACGGGAGCACCGCTGCAGGGCGTGCCGCCAGCGAAGTGTCCATGGAGCACGCAGCCTGGGCCCGGTATT